TTTTCATTATCCCAAATTGAAAATCGGTACCTATTAAACAATAACTCCCCATCAGCCTCTTCTTAGTCCCTGGTAACCACTGACATGCTCTTTTTAAAATGACAAAACTGTGGCTCCGAGAGGTGAAATGACTTGCCCAAGATCTCAGAGCTGGGACTGGTACAATCAGGATTTGAGGCCAGTTCTCCTCACTGGACTCTGAAACTAGCATTCTTTTTCCACTCTGAAACACTGCCTGTTGCACCTCTATTAAAGAACCACAAGGTGGTCGGAGCCCTGCCTCCCCCACGGGTCATCTAGAGTCCACATCCTAGAATAATGCTGCACAATGAAGGAGCTCAGTATAGCCGTGCGACAAATTACAGAATGAATCCACAAATGACACTGTGTCAGCTTGACCCCGTGCTTGGGAGTGAAGCTCAGATTGCAACTTTTGCTATCTAAAAACATCTATTGCATGCCGACTGTGTTCCTGACATGCCGGCTTCTCACTGTCCCCCAGCCTACTGGCCCTTCCTGGCAGGATAGGAGAGGCCTGAGGGCTGGCTCTGCTTGAAGGCCCTGAGTAGGAAGATTTGTGTTTGCATTACCCAGTCAATTCTGTATTTATTTTAGATATTAAGCAGTGACATAAAAGCTGCTGACATTAACCTTCAGGGGCAGAAATTGTCTTTAATGGACCCCATAAAAGTTATTATTGATGGCAGCTGCATGCAGCATCACTGTGATCTCAGCAAAAGCCTCCACCACTATCAATACTGTTGACAATTACTATTGACTAATGCAAGGCCGGGTGTGGAGGCAGAGTAAATGTTCCTGTGGCTGGAGGTTGCCGGGGGTTATGCTTCACATTTCACATTTATCTGGTAAGGATCTCTGAGAACTTGGTTGTACATTTTTGGTGTCCTCAACTGAGAGCTGAGGATGCTTATAGACTCAAATGGAGGCAGGGCAAAAGGCTCAGACTATAGAAATGGCTCAGGCCATCAGAGAGACCAGACTTCAAATCTAAACTCTGCCAACTTGTTAACTCGCTGGCTGTTGTGTCTCAGTTTGGAGCTTCAGGTTTCCCATTTGGCAAATGGGAATGGCACTGAGTTGCCAGGGGGATTAAAGGCAATTGCACATGTGCCCGAGGTTGCTGGCTTTGCTCTACTCATGAGAAGTGACCACACTGTGATGTGCTGACTGACAGGTCCAGTGGAACTGAGCCCTGTTCTGATGGTGAGATCCTAGTTCTCAACACAGGAAAAGGAGAGAGCTGGCTGGGGCCCAGGGGTTCAATGAGGTCAGGCAGAACTAGAGAAAGATGGGAGAGTGGGAAGGTAAAAGAAAAGGGAGAAAGAGGCTGAAAGGAACCAGGACTTTTGTGGTAGAGCCTGGCTCCAGCTCAACCAGACATGTGGCCCTGTGCACAGCCTTTAATCTCTCAGTGCCTCAGTTTCCCCAGCTATCATTTGGGGAGATAATAGTGTAAGAGGAATGTGAACCTAATCAGTGAATAAAAGGGAGCCATTCCCATGATTGCTGTTATTATTTAGACCTGAGTATCTCATAACAAAGCTGTTAATGTAACTTCCCAACCCGGGTTGAGTAGACACCTATGGGGAGCGTAGGTTTAAGGAGTCCAGGCTTGGAAGGGATGTGGGAAATAGAAGCCCTTTATTAGATTCTGCCCATCTCCTCACCTAAGCACAGTGAGGCTTCGAGTTTTGTCCCTAGTGTGGAAATAGATGATCATAAAGAGATGACAACATGGCCAGGGGAGCAGGCAGCCATTTCTCCGTCCCCATTATCAAAGGCTGAAATTCTTCAGGCTTAGTGAATATGTCATTATCACCCAACAGAGGCTTAATTAAGCTGTAATTCAGTTCTACGGGAATATACAATAATGTGGGCGGTATGCACCTCTTTCTGTCATGACTTTATGGAAAATGATCATTAGTCACCATGGCAAGAAGGCTTCAAAAGAACAAATAACCCAATTATTTTGCTACAGAGGGAATTCACTAGAACCAGGGCTATAAGAGTACAGATTTTAGAGTCATACAGGCTTGGGTTCCAATCTCATCTTGCTAGTTGTGTGACCTATGCAGGTTTCTTAACTTCTCTGGGCTGTGGCTTCCTTACTGTGTACAATGGGGATAATAAAACCTTCTTCAAGGGATTGTCGGGGGAGTAAATGAGATTATATAGCTAAAGCAGTTAGCACTGTGCTTAGGTTCAGATAATCGGCAGCAACTATGAATTATTATTAATTTTAGACAGAGTCTCACTCTGTTGTCCAGGCTGGAGTGCAGTGTTGCAATTTTGGCTCACGGCAACCTCCACTTCCTAGGTTCCAGTGATTCTCCTGCCTCAGCCTCCTGAGTAGCTGGGATTACAGGTGTGCACTACCATGCCTGGCTAATTTTTGTATTTTTATTAGAGATGGGGTTTTGCCATATTGCCCAGGCTGGTCTTGGACTCCTGGCCTCAAACAATCCATCCACCTCGGCCTCTGAAAGTGCTGAGATTACAGGCATGAGCCATCATGCCCAGCCACACAACTATGAAGTATCAATGTTGTTATTATTATCATTTTCCTCGTGTGCACCTTCATTTTGTGCACGCACTTAGAATCCAAGAATTCTAGATCTAGAAGGTCCTACAGGTCATTCAGCTCAGCTAGACCCAAAAAGTGTTGATTAGAACACTGGTCCCACCAGATGCTCTGAGAATAAAAGAGTTCTGTGGTCAAATCGATCTGCGGAATGCTGCATACATCCCTCCTTGGGTAATTTATCTGTTAGCATGCGCATTAACATCTTAAAAACTCTAAGAAGTCCTGCAGTACAGAATCTGGTTTAGGTTTGTTTAATTCACAGTTTCCTACATTATTCGACCACAGAACACCCCTCTACCTCATTTAAGAATTAACATTCTCAGATCAGGGAATGGTAATTTCATTTAAACTATTTTATAGATGAGGAAACTGAGGTCCTGAGAAAGGATGCAGTTCACCCAATGCCACGCCCTAGACTGTTAACAGAACTGGGGCTCCCTGCCTGCTGTGGTGTGGTGGCACAGACCCTAATCTCTTTGTGCCAGGCCCTGTACTGCCCTTCAATTTAGTGCTCAAGTTCAGTGTGTGGTGGGGGTGGGGAGAGGCAGGGCTGCTGGCTGGGTATGGCCTTGGGAAGGTGGGTGAGGGAGTGTGGGTGGCTTCCCACCATAGAGAGGGAAACTCCTCAGGTGCTGAGGTCATAGGCTCCTTCACAGGGCTGGCTGAGGGCCAAGAGAGAATGACACTGCCATGCCAGTACCCAGTATCCAAGCCATTGCCACCTTCCCACCCCTAGACAAGTATACAGGCTCCCTAGGAGAACATGTGAGTCCTCTGGGAGGGGTGGCAGGATACACCTTTGGAACTGGCCGCATGGGACTCTGGACCCTAAGGGGATACATTTCCCCACTTGACCCTGACCATGCATGGTCTCCTGCCCATCCCCAATCTGGGGCTCAATCTTGGTTTTGCACCACTGAGCTGAAGACTCCTCTTCAGTGACTAACCCCATCTAAGCCTCATCTCTGACCTGGTCCCTGCCCTGATCCACAGGAATCCAGGCCAGGAATCACAAGGATCTACATTTGAAGCTGGAAGCCAGCAGGAGGCACTGACACCAGGCTAGGAGCTTCCAGCTCTATTGCTAATTCTGACTGCTCTCCCCACACTCTTTTGCTGGTTCTGGTGTGGAAGCACCAGCGGACCTCCTCCTCACTGTGCTTCCCAGAAGCAGCCCTCCAGGTGCTGGGGCTGTGCCTGGACTCTGCCGCTGTTTCTAAGGCTTTGCTGCCAGAAACCGGCAGGACCCACCCTGGTGCTGACCTGGCTCAGCAAAGCTATGCATGAAATACACAGAAGGGGAGATTCCCTCTGGGGGGCTAGTCTCCACGAAGGACTGCGTTAAACTTAAAGCCCCTCAGAATGCTGCCAGCAAGGTCCCGGGAGGAAAGAGAAAAACACTGAAACTGGGCTCCCTTTCCTCCACCATGAAAAGGAGGCGTGGGAACCAGATGTCATCCTTTCCTCCCACAGCCTCTCTCAGGCCTTGGGAAGGAGCGGCAGGGAGGAGACAGGAATAGGGAGTGTGGAGCTGGCACTTCCTGGGATCAGGGGGAAGCTGGAGCAAAACCTCAAGTTTTAATTGTTAAAATTTATTTTTTTTGTCTTTTCACTTTCTTTTTAATAGACAAATAATAGTTGCATATATTTATAGGGCACAATAGGATGTTTTGATACATGTATACACTGTGGAATGATTAAATCAAGTTAATTAACATATCCCTTATCTCACATACTTATTTTTTTGTGGCAGAGTATTTAAAAATCTACTCTTTTAGCAACTCTGAAATATAGAATGCATGCTTATTAACTATAGTCGCCATGCTGTGCAATATATCTCAGAAACTTATTTCTCCTATTAACTGAAACTCTGCATCCTTTGACAACATCTCCTCTAAACCTCAAGATATAAGCATCCCACAATGACAGCTTTTGTTTGGAAGCCATCCTCTGAGCCACATAAGATGCTGGGGTGGGCCAGTGTTCCTGGAGTTTGCCCAGGACTGCCGGGCACCTGGAGCTAGAGATGGCACGAGCAGGATTCAGGCAGGACCAGGCCTTGCTGATTTCATGTAGGACACACTATGGGGGCTGTGTTACCCCTGTGAGTGCCCTCTCTGCTCCCCTGCACACAGGCACCTTGGAAGCAATGACCCAGAGCCTTATGCGCCTCCCTAATCCGGAAGCAAAAAGCAGCGACTCCATTTCTGGCATGTCACTCATGGGTGAGCATTTCACATGACTGCAAGACACTCTCACTTTTGACCTCTGAGAGCAAAGCAATTTTTCACCAACTTCACCAGAGCCCCTGGCCATGGAGCAGGAAATCAATATTGCCAATAAAACCCCAGCCCCACAACCCAGGCACCTGGCACAGGCCAAACCAGCCACTCACCAGTCTCAGTGTTTTCGTGCTCGGTGTCGGTGAGTGTGAGGTTGGAGTTGGCCCGGCTGGACAGGCAGGAGCTGCGCCCTGACCGTGAGCTCCGGCCCCACAGCCGCACAGGGTGCTCAGGGGATAGCACCGTGTCAGCCTCCATGTCAGCATCGGAGCCGGCCCCCATGGAGTAGCCGCAGTGGGGGAGGCCAATGTCTGTCCGGTACAGGGTCCCGTGAGGGGGCGTTACTTCTTCCAGCCCCAGCTCCCGCAGGGTGAAATTGGCACCTGGGAGGAAACACAGGTGAGCTTGGTTAGGGCGCTGAGACAAGGCCTACCTCTACCTCTGCCTCTGCCCGAAGCCTGGCCTTCTTACCCCAGGAGTCACTGTCATTCTTTGAACTTGTGGCATTCTATGCCCCTGCCTTTGCTCAAGTGATCGCCTCTGTCTGGGGGGCTTTTTCTGCCCCCTGTTCCCCAGTGTGAACCCTCCATTTCCTTTAAGCCTCAACTCAAATGGCGCCTGCTCTGTGAAATCTACCCCAATACAACACCTGTGTGGAATTCATTGCAACTTTCTCCAGGATCTTTCCAGAGTCCTTGGCCCTGGCCATACTGCACAGCAGAGTTGTTTAAGGGCCTGCCCCTCTGCTGGAGGTGACCTCAACAAGGGCAGGTACCATGTCTTGTTTATTCTTAAATCCCTAGAACAAAATGCAGCACACAGAAGGGGCTCAATAAATGCCTGCTACAGTGAATTGAGGGCTTCAGGTGTCCTTTTCCAGGGAGGACTTGTCAGCAAGTCCTGAGCAGGGCAGAAGCCCAGTGGAGGAGATCTAAATGGCTCCTTTGGGGCCAGAAGTCCCTTTGTTGCCAGGTCAAGAAAGCCTGAAGCTTGAGAGAGAAGCAGATGGGAACTGGCAGAGAAAAGTCAGCCTCGCACCAGGAAAAAGGCTCTGCCTGCTGTTCCCTCACCCCAGGTGAGGCTATGGTAGGGAACTGGCAGAGACAGGTCTTTTGAGGGCTTGGGCAGCCCGGCAATGCCTAGGACGAAGGCTGGGGTGGATGTGGGTGAGAGAAGTTCACCTAGGATTAGTATTTGAGTGACAAAGAGAATGCTGACTTTATGGAAAACCAGCCTCCCTGTCACTCCTGCATGTGAATTCCATGTCTATTCAGGAACAGCTTCTCCCATATATCTGGTATTTCCAGGAATGTGTTGGGGTGGGGTAAGGAAGAGGGAGTATACAAAGGCAGTAAGGGTCAGATCCCACTTAAAGTGAAGATCTGGGGAACTGGACTTATAATCAGGCAGAACCCACATTTAAACCAAGTCACACTGACCCTGGGCCTATACTGAGATAGAGTGGTGAACAGGATACACTGCCTGACTTTACAGAACTCTCTGCCAGGTAGGGGAGACAAAACCAAACACAGGATGAAGTGTGCAAGTTCAAAGTGGGGAGATCCACAGAGAGTGTGCTTGGAGTGCAGAGGCAGAAGGTAGGATATTGGGGTGAGGAGCTTAGAGGAGATGTTTGCAATAAGAGAGAATGTGGAGAATGACAAGTGAGAAGGCAGAAGAGGCAGATGCCCAAGCATTAGGGGGATTCTGGGCTGGGACAAAATAGGACAAGCCTGCAAAAGAAAGTGAGAGAGGTAGGAGGGGAGCCAGCAGAGATGGCATCCTATTATGATGTGTGTTTCACCCTTACAAATAACCCTTGTGCTCCCGGGTGTGTCCTAGTCATCTGGATCTAACACCTATCACACCTGCTGCAGAGTAGGTGCCCCATAAAAGTTAGCTAACCACACACTCACGCACAGACACACTCTGGCAGTACTTTGGACAATGGATAAGGGGAGAAGCAAGTGGGGAGGAGAGACCAGCTGGGGTGCTGCTGCTGTGCTAGGCTGTGGCAGTGGGTGGAGTTGTACCTCAGGCCTCCTTCCCAGCTGGCTCAGGCTGGGATAGCCTTTATGCCAGGTTACAGTCATGACATACTTCCACACAGCTTGGTAAATAACTGACGCCAAGCCACCTCAGTGCCTCCTTCCACACCCAGTGCCTCTCAGCCTCTGCTCCCGGGTGTGTCCTAGTCATCTGCTCCAGTCCCTTCCCGATACCCCCAATCTCCTCATGATCCAGTTACTAAACAAAGGGTTAATGTCAGCAGACGGGGCACGACAGAAGCCTGTGGGCTCTGCTCAGTGGCCAGGCAGACGTTCTGATTGGTTAGAAGTTGGGCCAACCAGATGTTGAGCATTTTGCATATTATTCCTCTGTGCCCTACTCCAATCTGCCCTCCTATTTTGCTCGCCTTCTAAGAAAAAAAGAAAATGCCAAATTAGAGCCTAAATTCCTCACTGATTCCCGCTCTCCCTGCACATCACACACCCTGGCCACTGTCTGATCTACACTCCTCTCTCCTGTCCTGCTCTTGCCCCCTGCCCCAGTCCACAGTTCTATCTGTGCTCTGCTGGGCCAGCCCTCTCATGAGAAGCTGCATTCGTGTTATGAAGAATGACTCTTACATTAAGTGAAAAATCAAATTTGTTTGCAACAAGCAGCCTGGGCTGCATTGATTTCCATACGGCTTGTTCTGCATACCCTTTTAAGGAGCCAGACTCAGCATCAATACCAGTGAGCTAAGACATCTCGGGACTGGAGAAATGCAAGGTAAGGGCCCACCCTAAGGGTTCAGTAATCCTGTTGAGCCAGTCAGCTCCTCTGATGTGTGAGTTTGGAAGATTTATTTCATCCAGTTTAAGAAGTCCTCATGGTTTACTTGCTTTATGTCCGTTTGGCCTCTTTCCTGAGGCCCAGGGCATGAGTTGACATCCCATCTCACTCAACTGTGCAATCTTGGGCTGCTGATCACCTGAGCTTCAATGTTCTAGTCTTTAAAATGGGATGATAATCTATGACCTGCTACCTTCAAAGGATTTTTGAGGATCCAGGGTGATAATTTAAGGGAAAGTATTTTGTAAACAGCTATGCAAATGCCTGCCTATGAGATGAGAATGCTTATTTGTTATTTACAAAGACAAAAAGCTGCTCCTTCCCTGAGCCTCTGGTGCTAGCTCCAAGCCAACCAGGGTTCACTGAGCTCTGTCACTTATGGGCAGGACAGAGAGAGAGAAAAGCTTCGAGAGACCATTTTGTCTCTTCACTCAGTGAGATCCAGAGGTGACAATTAATAGCAGGTAGCATTTCTGAAGCATCTGTTGTGTGTCAGGTACTGGTGTCGCGTTTTATTTACAGTTCTCATCAATCATCACCACCTATTAGGTACTATTTATCCCTTTGCACAGGTGAAGTGGCTGAAAATAGTAAAAATGGCAGAGCCACAGTTCAAATCTAGGTCTGTTTGATGCTGGAGTTTGAGCCTTAACCATAAGCTGGGAAGGGGACTGTTCATTTTTCAAGCCTCACAGGCAGCCCTGCTAACAGGTCAGCTTTCATGTGGATACAGGCCTGTGGGAGAGACCGGAAATGAAGAGGTCATAGGTGTGGGGTGTGTGTGTGTGTGTGTGTGTGTGTGTGTGTGGCCAGCTCCTCTTACCTGTGATCTTGGGCAAATGATTCACCCTGGGGTTGTTGTAAGAATTAAACAACATTGTCAAAATGAATACAAATTACACAGCACAGTGCTCAGCTGACCCTGTCTATGAAGTGGGAGAAGGCCAGAGCAAAACCAGGGTGGGCTGCACAAATTGTCAAGGATTGGTCATGACCCGACAGGCATCATAGAGGGCTCAAGCCTCTGCAGGAGGAAGAACAGGAATCACCGAGGCACCAGGGTAGGAAAAAAGTATCATGGCAGATCTGGAAACCTGAGTAGTTCAGCACGGCTGGCCCATGAGTGGTGGAGTGTGGAGAGTCGGGACAAAAAAGTGTAGAAAAACAGAAACAGATTTGGGGAAAGAGTTCTTTGCTAGAGGAAGCTCAGTTTAAGGGCAACAGGGAGTCACCCCTAGCCTCATCTGGCTGCAATGCAGAGAATGGTTAGAGGTGGGCAACTCTGGGTGAAGGGTGAAGGGGAGTGGCTGTGGTTAATCCTCCAAGAAAAATGATAATGGCTTGCACTGGGAAGTGGCAGAGGGAATGGCTAAGGAGGATGGATTTGAATACTGGGGCAGGATGAATAGGCTTTGGGGACTATTGTAGGTAGGAAGCGCAGGAGAGGGAGCCAGGCACCAGGAGAGCCTACAGATTACTAAGTTTTCACGTCCAGCCAACTCAGGAAAGTCTTCCTCTCAAGGTCACACAGGGCTTAACACAAAGAAACTGCTGAATACGTTTGTTGAATGAATAGCAAAACTAGGAACTAACATTTATTCAGCACTTACTTGGTATTATCATGCTTCCCACCTAAAGGCCATCTCATTAAGTCCCCACAACAATTCATTAAACACAGGGGCTTCTCACTCCCATCTAACAGTGGAGGACTGAGGCTTAGAGGGGAGCCTGACTCAGTTCTAGGCAGGCAGACATTGGAGCCCAGCTCCTAACCACCTCACTATGCCAGGGGGTGGGTGAACGAGAAAATAAATGAACTAAGAATGAACTACAGGGCAGGCTTTTACCAGCTCCAAGTGCCCAAATGGCAGAGACTTGACACGGCGCCCCGACTGGGGTTCCGGCCCACCCGCGCCACCCCCACCGGAGCCGGCGCCAAACTGCGCCAAACTCACCTGCGCCCAGACCCCGCCCCCCGGCCCAGCTCTCACCTGCGCGACAGAATTCCTCTGCCTCCTGCGGCACCATGTCCTTGACGCGGCTGCCATAGGCGAGGCGGGCGTCCTGGTCGTAGGCCTTCAGGGTCTCGGTGGAGCTGTAGGATTTCTGCGGGGCTTTGCCCTCCTCGCTGTCCGCGGACGAGCTGGTGTAGCGGCGCTCAGCATCGCGGCGCCGGGTCAGCGAGCGGTAAGGCTTCCTCTCCTTCACGTCCATGGCTTCCAGCCCGCGCTCCTCCACATCCACAAACAGGGTCCTCGCAGCACTCAGGGCTGAGTGGTCTAGAGCCGGGAAACCAAAGATAGGGCGTGAGAGGCAGAGGACATTCCCGGGTTCGTCCTGGTCCTGGATTCACCCCAGCAGCAGTGTGGATAAAGAACCCCAGGCTGTAGAAGTGAGGGTAGAGCTCCACTACTTCACAGCCGTAAGTACAAAGGAAACTTGCCCCCAGGACCTCTAATTACAAATCCTGTCCCTTTCCGCTACTTAGCCTATTCATCTTGAAGAGGCCTCCTCTAGTGATGGGTGCCAAGGCCAGAGGGCACTGGTGGTTGGTAATGTCCCTAGATAGGAACCAAGCCTGTTTGGGTCCCATCACATACCACGTGGAACAGGGCCTGACCCAGCTCTGACTCAGGCCTCCTTAAGAATTTGTAAGATGAATGATTGCATGCAAGCACTGGGGTAAGCACTTTGCATATAGGATCTTAGTAAATCTCCATACCTTCTGAGATGTTATTATGCTCACCAGCCTTTTTTGGCAACGAGCCAAGGTATAAACAACCCACACCACCACCAGATGATGATATATAATTCTTTGCTTTTTTTTCATCTCCTTCCACTAGCCTGTAAGCTCCATGAGAGCAGAAACTTTACCTGTATTGCTCACTCCTGGTCTCTAGCACCTAGAGCAAGGGCTGGTACACAGTAGGCGCCTAATAAACATGTGTTTAATTAACCAGCTAACCACTCCCATCTGACAGATGAGAAAACTAAGATTCAGAACCCCCTTCAAGGTCACTTAGGTGTCAAGTAACAAAGCCAGTATTGGAACTCAGATCTGTTTGGCTCTAAAGCCTGCATTTTTGCTATTCCATTCTGCCTCCCTGAGACACCTCCCTTTACTCCTGGTGCACAACAGTGCCCTTGCAGTCACTCAGAATGTCTCTCACCTCCAGACTCACCCATATCATTAGTGCCACCATCAGTCAGCACTGGGCAGCACAGTATCTGCCCCATCCATGTGGTGTTGCTAGGGGATCTGACTGGTGGGAAGCTCCTAATCGCCCTTTCTCCCTTTTCCCCATCTTGACCCTCCTGCCCTACACTGACACCTGTGGATTTTTGAGTTGTGATAGCACCTTCTTTCTCCCTCCAAATATCTTCTTTTGGTCAGGCACGGTGGCTCACACCTGTAATCCCAGTACTTTGGGAGGCTGTGACCGGCAGATCATGAGGTCAGGAGATCAAGACCATCGTGGCCAACACAGTGAAACCCTGTCTCTACAAAAAATACAAAAATTAGCTGGGCATGGTGGTGCATGCTTGTAATCCCAACTACTTAGGAGGCTGAGGCAGGGGAATCACTTGAACCCAGGAGGTGGAGGTTGCAGTGAGCTGAGATTGAGCCACCACACTCCAGCCTGGTAACAGGGTGAGACTCCGTCTCAAAAAAAAAAAAAAAAGTCTTCTTTGAGCTCTGGGGTAGCAAACACAACCATACAGGGCTAGGAGTGCAATACAGAAGGGAAGTAGAATCTCCTCCGCAGAGACATAGGGCATTGCTTAGTTTTTATGAAACACAACCTGCTCGGTTCTGGCTTTCCATTGCTCCAACTTTCAGAGCAGCATGGGTACACAAGACATTCCCTGGCTTCATTGTCCAATTAGAGAAACAGCAGAGCAAGAGCTGTGATAAATGCTGCTGACCTCAGATCTCAATGTCCAGGGTGGGGCCTCCATAGTCAATAGCTGGGAGGGTGGGTGTGTCCAAGTGCCTGTCTATACTGCAATATGAAAGTGTGGGTGGGAGTGTCGGGGTGGGGATGTCTCGTGAATTTTTAAGACAAGCTGGAAATTTGGAGTTAGGTATAAAATGTATGACTTTAACATGTTGATCCATTATTATTATTTAATTTTAATACTTTGCAGGCCAAACAAAACAGACTGCTGAGTCGAATTTGCTCTGAGGCTAGCAGTTCCCAAATTCTGCCTCTAATCATGGACATCAGGGGCAGGTCTTTGGCCCGAAGGTCCACAATTTTCAAAGGGTGCAAACACTTGTGATTTTATTGGTGCTTCATAATAACTGTGAAGTAGAGATGACAATTATTTTTACCCTCATTTTATAGATGAAGTGACCCAGGGCCATACAGTCTCCTGCCTAAGGCTCCATGGGGAGTTAGTTGCAAAGCTGGTAGTAATGAGATAGACCACAATGCCTCGGGGTTGTACCTAGATCCAATTAAGATGAATGGGTGACACTATTTTGGTTGCCAATTCTCAAAATATCCCCGAAAATTAATGCTGTGGCAAGGGGTGTGACCCAAGACACACATAAATAGAATTATATTAGTGAGGTTCAAGCCTAGAGCTCTGAGCTCTGCCATCCTGATGCTCAGCCTCCCAACAGCTGGCAAGACAATAGTCCTCTGAGCGTCTGAGAAGCAGGATCACAAGGAATATCAGTGATAGTACCTTCTATTCCAGGGATTTAAAAACTTTCTTGACTGCAATCAATAATTAGAAAAACATCTATGGCCAGGCATGAGGTGGCTTGCTTCTGTAATCCTGGAACTTTGGGAGGCCAATGTGGAAGGATTACTACAAGCCAGGAGTTTTAAGACCAGCCTGGGCATGGCAAGACCCTGTCTGTACAAACAATGAAAAAAAATTTAGCCAGGCGTGCTGGCACATGGCTGTAGTCTCAGCTACTCAGGAGGCTGAAACGGGAGGGTAGCCTGGGCCCAGGAGGTCAAGGCTATAGTGAGCGATGATGGTATGTCGCATTTCCCACTGGGCAAGAATGAGACCCTCTCTCAAACAACAACAGCACAACAACAAACTACAACATCTTACATAATAACCTAATACACACACTGATGTATGTGAACGTGTGTGTTCATATGTATAAAAGAGAAACAAAAGATTCACAAAAGTTACTGCATGATGAGAAATGCACGTTGATATGATCTCATTCTTTTTCATTTTTAATAAATGACTGATTATAAATCTAAATTGAAGTCATGACCCAATACTGGCTTTCAATCCAAAGCACTGTTCTAGTTTAATTTGAATGAGGATTTATGGCAACTGCTGCCTCTGCCTGTTTACTTCTAACCCCTAAGTGACAATAATGACGATGATAATAATAAGTGTAAGTGCTCCTAATGTTAGCCATTATTAATACTAGTCACTAGTAACTCATAATATATTAATAACTCATAATTTTAATAATGGTTTTAACAACACAGCTAACAGACCCTTATTACTAGCTAATATTTAATTATTGCTTACTTTTACTGTGATTATATATAACATCTTTAATCCTCACACCAACCCTGTGATACAGGTATTATGATTCTCTGCAAACTGCAGATGAAAAATTGAGGTTAAGTGTGCTGCCTAAGGTAACATGGCCCTCTCATGGTGGAGAAAGAATTGTCATCCTGAGGTTGAACTTAGCAAATGGGTATAACTGCTGTATGGGCTGTGCCAGGGGAATTTTTGAGGCCCAGGTCATGCTATTGTCCTGCTTATGCCCTCTGGCAGCCCTGCTGATCCTTTGGGATCAATTCCAGTTTCCTGGTCAAAATGAAGGCTCTTGTCAGTCTGGCTCATCTCACTTCCACCTTGCCGAGCCACTTGCACTTTCCTGCATGTGAATTCTGTGGCCTCTGCCTTTGTGCATGATGTATCGTCATTGCATCTGCAGCCAGCTGATGGCCTTTTTTCATGTCTGCCTCTCCCCTTGACTAGAGTTCCTCGAGGGTAGGTAGGCCTGGTATCTGGTGCTCACCAAATGCCTGTTAAGTGCATGCACAGATGAAACTACTTGGCAGCTATTTCATGCCTTCTTATTAAGCCTAAATGACACAAAATATTAGTAGTCCACTACCAATTAAGTGAACTATTAAGTAACTCTAAGTCTGCAGTAGAGGCATTGCTCAGATGTATTCTTTTTTTAAATTTCAAAGGTAGCCCAGGCTTGAAGTATGCCTCCACTGACCAGCTGTAGGACCTTGGGCAAGTTATTTAACCTCTCTGTGCTTCAGCTTTCTCATCTGTAAAACCTCTTAGGGTTGTTTTGAGGATTAAATGAGTTAACACGTGCCCCTAGCATATATGGTCCCTGGTACACAATGAGTGCTCAATAGATGTTAGCTATTATTATCAGAAAAAACAAACACATTTTCTTTTTAAAAGGGATAACATAGAAAGCTCTGGCTAGGTGTCAGTTATAATTGGGGAAGGAGCACCCCCTCAGAAGCATATGTTAATAAGGCTGGCCAGGCGGGGTGGCTCATGCCTGTAATCCCAGCACTTTGGGAGTCCACGGCTGGTGGATCACAAGGTTAGGAGTTTGAGACCAGCCTGACCAACATGGTGAAACCTTGTCTCTACTAAAAATACAAAAATTAGCTGGGCATGGTGGCACATGCCTGTAGTCCCAGCTATTCAGGAGGCTGAGGCAGGAGAATTGCCTGAACCTGGGAGTCAGAGGTTGCAGTGAGCCAAGATCGTGCCACTGCACTCCAGCCTGGGCGACAGAGTGAGACTCTGTCTCAAAAAAAAAAAAAAAAAAAAGGCTTAGAAACATTTTAGGCTGTAAAATTGGTGGAAGACTATTTCTTCTTATCAGTGTGAGCCTGTTGACTGAAGACACTGGCATCGAGGCAAAGGCTCAGTAACCACAAATTAAGAACATAGGCACCCAACACACAGCTTCCCTGTCACAAAGCTGAGCATGGAGAACATCATCTGTTTCTCATTTCCTTTTAATTTTTTTTTTCTAATTTTAGGTTTAATATAGTAATTCAGCAAATATTTACTGTTTTTGAACAGATGGGAGGTCAGTCATGGCTCACACTCAAATTGGCATTTAACAGAGCAAGAAAGAAGAGGTTGGGGTGAAAGAGGAGTGACAGAGAAACACTCCCTTTGGAGCAAGGGACTTCAGCGCAGTGACCTGGAGCCCCTGGCAGAAGGATGGAAGGAATGCTGGGGAAGGGTCCCACCTCACACCCTGCAGGCCCCAGACACAGGCTCAGGGACAGAAGCA